GTAAAAACAATATATTTTCGTCGTGATTATTCGCTTAAAAATGAAAAAAAAAAAAAAAAAAAAAAAATCAAATTTCCACGGAAGGTGAGGAAGATGGTGAATAAAAAAAATATATATTTTCAACAATGCAGAGAAATCTGGGAAGAACTTCTGGATGTCTCGCTTTTAAAGAATTGCGGTTTCATAAACATTTGTATGGGGATCAGTTTCGTGTTGTCGAGCGACTTCATATTTTCTTACCTTTTGCCACTGATGATGACCAACAGTGGTTACACGAAAAGTCAAGCGGCCTTGGCAATTACCGTCTGTGCAACCGCGGAATTAGTATCCAAGATTTTGCTCGCAATTTTCACTTTGTTGGTAAAAGTCAAAGCGAAATATATATTCTTCGTCGCTATGATTGGCATGGCGTTCGCAAAAATTGGTTAGTAAATTACACGTACTGTAAACGTAAAAAAAAAAAAAAAAAATTCCATCAACAAATCATTCTTCTCTCTACAATTCAGATCCATCGAAAGATTTTTTATCGTTGCGAGAGAAGAAACAAATCATTGATTTTCGTCTAAAATTTCTATTATAAAATTAAAATTTTAATTGTATCGTAAAACTTAATATATATATATTAATTTATTTTTCAGGTTACTTAATGTACAATGAAACGTTGGTCGGCATGTTTGTGATGATAACGATTATAGGAATGGTCAGATCATGGTTGTTGGTCCCTCAACCTTTAGTTATCATAGAGGACGTTTGTATAAATAAATTCGCCTCGGCGTACGGTATTGCCGGGGCTATTAACGGAATGGTTTCTATAGTATGCGGCCCGATCGTTGGTGAGTAAAAATCCAAATGGTGATTTCCGTTTAAATAAACCGACGACAACAATAATGCACGAGAAACGAGAAACATGCACGAGTGTAATAAAACAAAAATTTATTATATATATTTGAAAGAGGGTAAGGAGAAGGAAGAATTTTAAAATGGTACTTCTCTTTCAGGATTCATGAAGGATTGGACCAACAGTTTCGTTGTTTGCCAGCTCGCCCTTATTCTAATGAACGTCCTGTTCGTTATCCCGTGGGCAGTACAATTCTTCTCGGTTGATTTACTAAAGAGAAGGAAGGAACGAGCGGATAATAAAATTGCCGCCCAAACTTCCGCTCCCTTTTCTACGGATTGAAAGAAGGAGAGAGAAAGACATTGTTGTGCTCTTTGTATATATATATATATATATATACACACAAATGCACGCATTGCTACTACTTAAAAAAAAAAAAAAAGTAGAAACTCTTTTGTACAAAAGACGAGAAATTACTTTATTATTTATAAAAATATATATATATATACTTTGTAAAATTATTTTGCATCGAATGTGCGTAAATTAAATAACTTTTCTCTCAAACAATGCAAATTTGTGTTGCGAGTACAATATAAAATAAAATTGGCAACACCCTCCTCTTTTGTTTCGTAGCTCGATTTTTATTTTCATTTATATTTATAATGCCAACCTTCGATCACAATTTTTCCCTTCTCTCCCATACATCCTTCTTTCGAATCTTCGAAAACATCTTTCGCGCGCATTTGTGACGCATGATCTCGATATAAAAAAAAAAGAAAAAAAAGGTGTTGGTTAGCAATTCAAATCGTATAGATTATCAATCTCGATTGATGAAATTGCTGATCGAAAATTATTTATTCGCTTAATTGTAGCTTAAAAATAATAATATTTTTTATTCCGGGGAAAACTTCATGTCGCATCTCGATCGATCGAGACATCATGTTCGAAGGAAGAAATGACACGGCTCGAAATTAACCTTGAATTAATTAACGTCGTTATATCATCGATATAACCTTATTTTTTTTTTTCTTTCTTCCTTTCGGGAGGGAACGATACAAAAAAGTAAATATGGGAGATCCAGCTAAAGGGAAAACGTTGTTCATAAGAATGTGCTCGATGTGTCATACCGTTGGTAAAAATGACAAACACAGGGTAGGTCCGAATCTTTTTGGAATATTTGGCAAAACGTGTGGAAGTACGTATATATAACATATCCTTTTG